TTATCTAACAGAAGCATTGCTTTGTCCAGAAATGGATAGTAAATCATTCTTGAAACAAATTATTCATCATTCAATCTCGTCTGTTTGAACACCATACTACTGTACTAGGAACAGGTTGTTTGAACACCATACTACTGTACTAGGAACAGGTTGTTTGAACACCATACTACTGTACTAGGAAAAGGCTATGATAACCTCTAGATCAGCATGGCCCAGGGTCAGGCTCTAGGAGTAGGGAAATTATTGAAACTCAAAAAAGGTATAAGCATAAAAAAATCCTTCAAGATTGATGGTTGAGATGAAAGGAATGGTCTATCAGCATGTCACTGAAGGAGAAAGAATGAGAAGGGGATCATGAAATACAAAATACTCTAGACCCTAGAGTCTAGGGCACTGACAGGATGGATGAGGATAGGCTTTTAACCAGGGTTGTAACAAGAGCAGGAAAGCCAACATCAAAATTACACACTCAAGTGAGTCACAAGGATACCAGAAAACACTGCTTTTTCATGTTGGTTGAAAACTGCTACACTTTAGATAGGGTGCCTTGGTGCTGGTGAAGGGCTCTTGTTCCAAGGAACTGGAAATACCCTTTCCTTCCTTGGATCAAAGCTGAGAACCTCCCAGTCCCCAAGCACTACAGAATCCCTATGGTTGAAAGTAAAGAGGAGGAACCTGGAGCCAGGGCTCGCCTCCTCTTCCCCATCCACAAACTCAAATAGGTAATTACAGGGAGGGCACTTTTGTTGACACTCTTCATAGTCTGAGATTTCAGCTTTGTATATTAACATGACGTAAGCTTGAAGTCTTGAGTTGTTTTGCCACCCAAGAAGTATAAGATGGTTCTTGGCTGTGGCTGTCTTAAAACAGCCAAGCCTGGCTCCAAGTTGGGCTGCAAGAGAAGGAAGACTATTGAAATTGGTCATAGTTATATCACAGAGTCTGGAGGTAGTTGAGGGACTGTTTCCCTTGATGGCCTGTTACTACTCCAGTGGATATGGAGGGGCTTAAAGGATTACCATGGAATGAAGTAGGAGACATTATAGAAGCAATATTGCCAAGCTGACCTTTGACTGCCAGAGCTTCCAGCCTCAGTTTATAAAGTAAGACAGGGCTTACAAGTGTGGGAATTAATCCCAACACTTAACAATGCAGACATTGCTGGCAATTTGGCCATCCTACCAGGTATTGTAGATCACTGGCAGAATGCATAGTCTGCAGAGCTGTTGATCATAATATGCCATCATGCAGCCAACCACCCACTTACCTTAACTGTGGAGCTCACCCTGCATATTCCCACTATTGCCCAGTTTTCTTACCTGCTTACACAATTCTCGATCTCAGGAAAAAGGAAGGCCTATCGTAAGCTATGACAGAAACTCAATTGCGTCTCCAAAGAAGACTTTCTTGGCTCTGTTAATCCAGGGCTGCTTGGCACCCATGGGTCCCTGGTGCATCCTCTCCCATAGTCACCTGTGTCAACCCCTTATGAAGTCCTTACCTCTGACATTCTTATCTTTGCACCTCCTGTTCTTCCTACTTCATTCTCTTTCGTTTCTCATGCTTCTTTCCCTACACAGGCTTCCCCAACTGGGCTTTTAACTCAACCCAAAACTCCTTTAGTCACCAAAACTAACTCCTTACCAACCTGTTATTCCTTAACTTTTCCTACCTCTGTGTCTTATCATCTTACCTCTTCCAACTTGTATAATAGTAACAGAAATCCATGCACCTAACATATTGCCACTCCTCCATCCCCATCCAGGTTCCTTCATCTCTAGGCTCCACGATCCTCTCACTATCTCATTCCATTTTTATCAGATACCAATGTCTCTCCACTCTCTACTTCATCTACTTTTTCCAACTCTTGTGCTATGCCATCTACTATATCTTATCTATAGAATCACTTGCAGCCATCTTTCTTCTTTCAACAAACTGACCATATCCCACCAACGCAGGGTGGCCCAAAAAGAAAGAAAAAATAGTTTCTCTTTTTAACTTTAGAATATATACAGGAGAAGGGGTTACTAGCCCCTTGCTCCTGGCATCTTAGCTGCCTCTTATGACACACATGGCTTACAGAGGATAAGAGGAAATAAACCATAACAAGAACTAGTAAGAAAACAGAAGAAAACCCAGAGGGGTATGTATGTATATGCTTGTATATGCATGTGTAGTGTGACCTAAGTGTAAGTAGAAGTAGCAAGACATACCTGAAATCGTGCATGTTTATGAGACAGAAAAAAGACAACAGCAATCCTACCATCATGTAAAACAATTACAGGCTTCCATTTTACACTCACTTGGCAGGACAGCAGTACGTCCTTGGGCGGTTGCTGTCTACCAACCTACTACCTGTATGATGGAATTTTTTTTTTTTAAGAAGTTGGCTGTCTCCCACCTGAGGCAGGGTGACCCAAAAAGAAAGAAAATCCCCAAAAAGAATATACTTAATCATCATTCAACACTTTCACCTCACTCATACATAATCACTGTTTTTGCAGAGGTGCCCAGAACACAACAGTTTAGAAGCATATACATATAAAAATACACAACATATCCCTCCAAACTGCCAATATCCCAAAACCCCTCTTTTAAAGTGCAGGCATTGTACTTCCCATTTCCAGTACTCAAGTCCGGCTGTATAAAAATAACTGGTTTCCCTGAATCCCTTCAATAATATTACCCTGCTCACACTCCAACAGCTCGTCAGGTCCCAAATACCATTCGTCTCCATTCACCCCTATCTAACACGCTCAAGCATGCTTTCTTGAAGTCCAAGCCCCTCGCCCACAAATCCTCCTTTACCCCCTCCCTCCAACCTTTTTGAGGACGACCCCTACCCCGCCTTCTTTCCCCTACAGATTTATACGCTCTCAATGTCATTCTTCTTTGATCCATTCTCTCTAAATGACCAGACCACCTCAACAAACCCTCTTCAGCCCTCTGACTAATACTTTTATTAACTCCACACTTTCTCCTAATTTCCACACTTCGAATTCTCTGCATAATATTTACACCACACTTTGCCCTTAGACAGGACATTTCCACCGCCTCCAATTGCCTCCTCGCTGCTGCATTTATAACCCCAGCTTCACACCCATATAAGAGTGTTGGTACCACTATACTTTCATACATTCCCTTCTTTGCCTGCATAGATAATGTTTTTTGTCTCCACATATGCCTCAATGCACCACTCACCTTTTTTCCTTCATCAATTCTATGATTAACCTCATCCTTCATAAATCCATCCACTGACATGTTAACTCCCAAATATCTGAAAACATTCACTTCTTCCATACTCCTCCTCTCCAATTTGATATCCAATTTTTCTTTATCTGAATCATTTGATACCCTCATCACCTTACTCTTTTCTATGTTCACTTTCAACTTTCTACCTTTACACACACTCCCAAACTCATACACTAACTTTTGCAACTTTTCTTTAGAATCTCCTATAAGTACAGTATCATCAGCAAAAAGTAACTGTGTCAATTCCCATTTTGTATTTGATTCCCCATAATTTAATCCCACCCCTCTCCCCAACATCCTAGCATTTACTTCTTTTACAACCCCATCTATAAATATATTAAACAACCATGGTGACATTACACATCCCTGTCTAAGACCCATCTTTACTGGGAAGTAGTCTCCCTCTCTTCTACACACCCTAACCTCACTATCCTCATAAAAACTCTTTACAGTATTTAGTATCTTTCTACTTATTCCACATACTTGCAGCATCTGCCACATTGCTCCCCTATCCACTCTATCATATGCCTTTTCTAAATCCATAGATGCAATGAAAACTTCCCTACCTTTATCTAAATACTGTTCACATATATGCTTCACTGTTAACACTTGATCTACACATCCCCTACCTACTCTAAAACCTCCTTACTCATCCGCAATCCTACATTCTGTCTTCCCGTACACTTTTTAACATTTCTGTCGTGATTCCATCAGTTCCGGCTGCTTTACCCCTTTCATTTTACATAAATGCCTCACGCACCTCCCCCACACTCACATCCTGCTCTTCTTCACTCTTAAAAGATGGTATACCTCCCTGGCCAGCGCATGAAATTACCGCCTCCCTTTCTTTGTTGACGTTTAAAAGTTCCTCAAAATATTGCCACCATCTACCCAATACCTCCATCTCCCCACCTACTAACTCCTCTACTCTGTTTTTAACTGACAAATCCATTCATTCGCTAGGCTTTCTTAACTTGTTTGTCTCACTCCAAATTTTTTTTCTTATTTTCATCAAAATTTCTTGACAGTGCCTCTCCCACTCTATCATCTGCTCTCCTTTTACACTCTCTCACCACTCTCTTCACCTTTCTTTTGCTCTCCATATACTCTGCTCTTCTTATAACACTTCTGCTTTTGTAAAAACCTCTCATAAGCTACCTTTTTCTCTTTTATCACACCCTTTACTTCATCATTCTGCCAATCACTCCTCCTTCCTCCTACATCTATCTTCCTATAGCCACAAACTTCTGCCCCACATTCTAATACTGCATTTTTAAAACTATTCCAACCCTCTTCAACCCCCCCCCCCAACTACTCATACTTGCACCAGTCCACCTTTCTGCCAATAGTTGCTTATATCTCACCCGAGCTTCTTCCTCCCTTAGTTTATACACTTTCACCTCTCTTTTACTTGTTGTTGCCATTTTCCCTTTGTCCATCTACCTCTTACTCTAACTGGAGCTACAACTAAATAATGATGGAAATATATGTTTTAATTATTTATTTTCTTATAACAGATAAGATAGAAATTTGTAAATATTTTATACTCAAATATGCTGCTGCTAATATAACTCTTATAGGGCTTAGCTCCTAGGCCTTCTGTGTATCCATATGCTCTTGCTGTACCATCCGCAGTGTACATATTGGGTGCACGGCAAATTAGCCGCTTTGGCAGAAAAATCTAAATCTAATTTGCAGGACAAGTCTGTAATTTCACTAACATGTATATTTTTTTTTCATGTCAAAAGGTGGTGGGGTTTGCAGCCTGATACTTATCACTGCCAGGGGTCTGCCAGCCAAAAGAAAATAAGGACCAATGAAGTAGAGTATGGGTATTACTGAAATTTCTTGGTGTTCACAGCTGGTCGCTTCATATATGTTAGTCAAAGCTTATACAAACTTTGGTACAGGTGTATGGAAAAATTCTACTTGAGACAGCTACCAAGCACACCATGCTCCACTTCCAGTTAAATGTTTTCTTAGGAAACATTCCCCTGTCTAACAGTAATAAAAGTTTATATTGTAATCCCCTAAAAGCAAGATTTTAACAATTAACCAAGAAAACATAGCTTGAATAACAATTAAATGGTTAAATTATTGGTGAAAGGCTGCTAACTTGGTATAGTTTATTGTGATGCTTACTATAAAACACTGCTACTACTGCTATAACTAATTACGTACTGTATTGTATAGTGATGTATTGGTTGCAATGCCCATCACTAATGGTTGCAAACATGCTGATATATTTAGGTAGATAAATTCTTTACTAGTGTTTTAAAAACAAAGCTCATTTCAGCTTTGTTTTGACCATCTTATGTTTTAACTTGTCAAAAATTAATTCATGTCAAAAACTAATTCATAATGTAGTTTGTTTTCTAGCAAGATTATGTGTGTTAATTTCTGAGCGATCCAAGCAATAGACAGAATTAAATATTAGCTATTCTAGGTTGGGTTAGGCTATTTATTTTAATTTAAACTGAATTACTATTCAAAATTTATGTAGAGTTAACTGTCACCCCAAATTGAAGGAAAATGCCTGGTAGTATGGGACACCATAATTATTGTTTAATTCACTGGAAATAAACTGCTACTGTGCATTCTGTGTGTAGGATGGACAGTAGTATATTTAAACAAAGGCCATATGCTTTATAATGTATGTATTATGGGCTCTACTGTTTACCGAAGTTTTTTTTTTAGATGTATGTACTGTACCATGTATTAGACTCATTTGTTTTTCTTGAAAAGATTTTTGGTGTGGTTTAATATAATGGGCAAAATTATTTTTATCTATAAATAAAAAGCAAGAAATTATTATATACCTAACATAGGGTACTGAGTGCTATTGCATTTGTGGATATTATTAGTTTTCTCCCTTGCATGCTACTGTATAATTTTTTTTTTTTTGCTTTTTCATTGCAGACAGATGCATTACCCTCCAGAGACCGCTTGCATCATGCTCCTGGCACGAATCATTGCTACTGTTCGCCAGGCTGCTGATAAGGAGGGAGCAACAGCTCTGTTCATGCAGTTTTGCCATCGCACTGTGAACGAGGAAGAAGAGATTGCCCATAAATTACTTGGAGCAGAGTTCCATGACCAGTTAGAGGCTCTGCGAGTAATGATGGAAAAGGGATTAGGTGCACCAGAAGTTCAACATGTAAGTACAGGTTTTTTTTTTTTTTTTTTTTTTTTTTTTTACACAGGGTTTGACAAGGTTAAGGATACCTAGCTTTATTGACAAGCTATTTACAGGTTAAGGATTCCTAACTTCATTGGCAAGCTAAGAGCTGTTACCTACATCAGCTCATTTGAAAGCATTTTTATTGTTATGAGACATACAAGGAGGGAACAGGATGAAATTGGAGCCATCTGTGGGCCAGCATTTTCATTTGATCAACTGACTTTATCTCACTGACATCATTATGCTGTACGAATGTGTTCCATACTCGAATCATCCTGGGTATATATGATCTCAGATGGAGTGATGTTCTGGAGAAGGGTACAGCCAGAGTGAAGCTGCTGCTTTCTGCCCGTCTTGTGGCATAAAAGCTTGTTTCACGCTGTCCTCGAAGTGGATCCAAGTGTGGTACTTTGACAATATTGGCCTTGTACATAACAGTAAGGCCACCCACATCCCTCCTATGTTGAAGGCTCTGCTGAAATGACAGATCTATCCAGGATGGGTCCAGGCAAAAGATGAGACATCTTGCTCTGTTCTCTACTCTGTCAAGTAGTCGCAGATGAGAGGGGGGGCAGGCAAACCAAGAAAGTGGAGCATACTCAAGGTGTGAGCGTACTTGTGCCTCGTACAGAATCTTGCAACCCCTACTGTCAAGTAGATGCGAGATATGGCGAAGTGCTGTAAGCTTCCTGGCTGCCTTGTTTGCAAGATATACAACATGGTTCTTCATGGTTAGTTTGGAGTCAAATTTCACCCCAATTCAATTCAATTCAATTAAAAGTTTATTCTCTATAAGGATTACAATGCTGAGTTTACAGAATTTGGGTATTGTGTGGTTTACATGTAGTAAAATAATAATTACAGAGTGTACCACTAGAACACCTAGCATGGGTAGGCAATTCGGGCAGACTTGTATTAAATCTTAAACTTAAAATATTACAAAGTATGAGGCAAGTTGGTATTATGGCTAAGTGACTAAATACTAGTTTGTGAGTTTAGCAATGTGAATGCTTTTGTTTTGGCACAATACATAGTTTCAGTATTGGAGTATCACAGGCCAACTTACGACTAGTTAGGATTCATTATTTTAAGATTAAGATTGATATTTCTATTTATGGTCAAATGGGTGAGTGAGTGTAAGTGTGAACCACCAGGTGGTATTCGTGTAATTAGTTGACAGGGTGTATCAGGGAGATAAGATGTTTTCTAATGGTAGTTTTGAAGGTGATGAATGTGTCTGCAGTTCTAGAGTTTTCAGGTAGGGTGTTCCAGATTTTAGGGCCTTTGACATACATTGAATTTTTGTAAAGGTTTAGTCGGACACGGGGAATGTCATAGAGATGTTTGTGTCTGGTGTTATGCCTATGGGTTCTGTCACAACTATCAAGAAAGCGTTTTAGGTCAAGGTTAATATTGGAATTTAAGGTCCTGTAGATGTAGATTGCACAGTAGTAAGTGTGGATGTACTAAACAGGGAGTAAGTTTAGATCTATGAAGAGTGGGGGGGTGTGTTGCCAGGGATGGAATTTAGTGACTATTCTTACTGCTGCTTTTTGTTGGGTTATTATTGGCTTTAGGTGTGTTGCTGCAGTTGATCCCCAAGCACAAATAGCATAGGTGAGGTATGGATAAATAAGTGAGTGGTATAGTGTGAGAAGGGCATTTTGCGGCACGTAGTATCATATCTTGGAGAGGATCCCAACCGTTTTGGATACTTTTTTGGTTATGTGTTGGATATAGGTGCTGAAATTCAGGTTGTTGTTGAGGTATAGGCCTAGGAATTTGCCCTCATTATGTCTGGCTATTAGAGTGTTGTCGATCTTAATGTTAATTTGCGCAACTCCTGCTCTGCTACCAAACATAATGTAGTAGGTTTTGTCAGTGTTAAGCGTAAGTTTATTGGCTGTCATCCAAGTCGATATTTTGATCAGCTCCTCGTTAAGGATGGTGTTGAGGGTGGCAAGATTAGGGTGAGAGATGACATAAGTCGTGTCGTCAGCAAAGAGAATGGGGTTCAGGTGTTGGGATACGTTTGGAAGATCATTGATGTGTATGAGGAATATGAGGAAAGGATATCAACTTCTTCTCCAGGTGCCAACACCCTCCCATTCATCCTTACTACTATTTTTTTTATAAATGCAGGTAAAAATGTATTTAATCTATATCACTGGAATTTTAATCAAGAAATGTCTTCACATCTGTTTAAGCCTTTAGCATTTCTCTACTCTAAAGAGGGGTACATTTTTAGGCCTACTTTGAGCCTTTGCAGAGCCTTATCACTGCACAGGCAACTGTTAACCCTTTAAGAGTTGACAGGCCCTCTCCAAACTTGTTCTCAGGGTCGAAAATTTTTCGAAAAAAAAAAAAAATTTCTTATGAAATGATAGAGCATATTTTTGTGAGTATTATAGGCAAAAAAAAAAAAATTGTGATCAATACTTACCGAGATATGGAGGCATGAAGTTAACAGAAAGTGAGCTGCTTACGGCAACTTCTCCGAATGCCAGTCACGGTAATAGCTTATTTATTATTTTTTCTAGTTTTTCTTTTATTTTTTAACATTTTATTTTTTCAAGTAACTTTTAAGGCCTGTGAGACCAACATAAGCTATATTTTGGATATACAGTGGACCCTCACCTAACGCTATCAATCCGTTCCTGAGAGCTCAACGTTAGGCGAAATTGTCGTAAGCCGAATTAATTTTCCCCATAAGAAATAATGGAAATCAAATTAATCCGTTCCTGACACCCCAAAGTATGAACAAAAAAGGATTTTTACCACATGAAATATTAATTTTAATACACACAAACTGAAGAAGACATGCACAGTTACATGACACTTACCTTTATTGAAGATCTGGTGATGATTGATGGGATGGGAGGAGGGAGACTGTGGATGGTGTTAATGTTTAGAAAGGGAATCACCTTCCATTAGGACTTGAGGTGGCAAGTCCTTTTCTGGGGTTACTTCCCTTCTTCTTTTAATGCCACTAGGACCAGCTTGAGAGCCACTGGACCTCTGTCGCACAACACATCTGTCCATAGAGGCCTGTACCTCCCGTTCCTTTATGACATTCCTAAAGTGTTTCACAACATTGTTAGTGTAATAGTCACCAGCACGGCTGTGTGAGGGTGATTTTCATCAAAAAAGGTTTGCACTTTAAGCCACATTGCACACATTTCCTTAATCTTTGAAGTAGACAACTTCTTCAATTTCTCTATCCCCTCCTCCGGAGCAGTTTCCTCAGGTCTGGTCTCTTGCTGTTGAAGATGATCCAGCAGCTCATCAGTGGTTAGTTCGTCATTGTCCTCCTCCACCAACTCTTCCACATCCTCCCCACTAACCTCCAACCCCAAGGACTTCCCCAATGCCACAATGGATTCCTCAACTGGCATAGGATTCCCAAGGTTAGCCTCAAACCCTTCAAAATACCTTTTGTCTACACATTCTGGCCACAGTTTCTTCCAAGCACAGCTCAAGGTCCTCTTAGTCACTTTCTCTCAAGCCTTACCTATAATGTTTACACAATTGAGGATGCTAAAATGATCTCTCCAAAACTCTCTTAGAGTCAATTGAGTTTCTGAGGTCACTACAAAGCACCTTTCAAACATAGCTTTTGTGTACAGTTTCTTGAAGTTGGAAATGACCTGCTGGTTCATGGGCTGCAGGAGAGGAGTGGTATTAGGAGGCAAAAACTTGACCTTAATGAATCTCATTTCCCGCAGAAAGTCGCTCTGCCACGTCTGAAGGATGACCAGGAGCACTGTCTAATACCAGGAGGCACTTAAGATCTAATTTCTTTTCAATTAGGTAATTTTTCACAGTGGGGGCAAATGCATGGTGCAACCAGTCATAGAAAAAGTCCCTAGTGACCCATGCCTTACTGTTTGCCCTCCACAGCACACACAAATTAGCCTTGAGGACATTGTTTTTCCTGAACACTCTGGGAGTTTCAGAGTGATACACCAATAAAGGCTTCACTTTGCAATCAAAACTAGCATTAGCACACATCAACAGAGTAAGCCTGTCTTTCATAGGCTTATGTCCTGGGAGTGCCTTTTCCTCCTGAGTAATGTAGGTCCTGCTTGCCATTTTCTTCCAAAACAGGCCTGTTTCGTCACAATTAAACACTTGTTCAGGTTTCAGTCCTTCACTGTCTGTGTACTCCTTGAATTCCTGCACATATTTTTCGGCTGCTTTGTGGTCCGAACTGGCAGCCTCACCATGCATGATCACACTATGTATGCCACTACGATTCTTAAATCTCTCAAACCAACCTTTGCTGGCCTTAAATTCACTCACATCACCACTAGTTGCAGGCATTTTTCTAATTAAATCCTCATGCAACTTCCTAGCCTTTTCACATATGATCGCTTGAGAGATGCTATCTCCTGCTATCTGTTTTTCGTTTATCCACACCAATAGCAGTCTCTCAACATCTTCTATCACTTGCGATCTCTGTTTCGAAAACAAAGTTGCACCTTTGGCAAGAACAGCTTCCTTGATTGCCGTTTTCTTGGCCACAATAGTAGCGATGGTTGATTGGGGTTTTGTGTACAACCTGGCCAGCTCGGAGACACGCACTCCACTTTCATACTTAGCAATGATCTCTTTCTTCATATCCATAGTAATTCTCACCCTTTTTCCTGCAGGGTTGGCACTAGAAGCTTTCTTGGGGCCCATGGTGACTTATTTTGCAGGTGCAATCACTAAAAAGGCTGTGATAATATGAAATGTTCCGATTGAATGCTTGGAAGCGACCACGGTGGCTGGCTTGTAAACACTGGCACCCACAGAACAAGTGAGGTGGGCTCAGGCTGCACGTGGACGCGTCTCGAACGAATCGCGTTAAGCGAGTTTTTTAGCGCTAGCCGAGGCAAAATTTTTGTGTTAAAATGTATCGCTAGGCGGATTTAACGTTATACGATGCGTTCGTTAGGCGAGGGTCCACTGTATACACTCTTTTTATGCTACAC